CAATATAAACAGTAATAATCTTCAGCTAGAATATGGTATTCTGATGCATGCTCTAAGGTCATGAATACTTATACAAGATGGTTAAGATGGAAGAATTTTGATGGATGATGGTAAAAATGACCTTCTATATCTTTCTTTGTTACAGATCAGAAGCCTATGGTTTTTACTTCTGACTGAAGTTTTTATTTGAGGGAACAATGGATGTTTGTTCTCCAAAAAGATGGAATTAATTCTTTTAGTGCAAGCTGTCAATTCCAGAAATGCTGAAGCTACCCTAATACAAGAGGAAACGTGCATGTTCCTCTGATCGCACAATTATTTCACAAAGCTAATTTTTTGGGCTGATTTTGAATAACAGTATCTGGAGTGACTCGATGTAGCATTAACATGTCAGATAATGCAGGATTTATGTCGCTTTGAGTTAGTATACTGCATGAGTGGGTAGTGAAGAGTTTTACCACCACGATAAATGGGTGAATACATTGACAGAGAGACAGAGCAATGATAGAGAGGCAGAGAGACAGAGAGAAAGAAGGATAGAGAGAAGCAGGGTTTTTAGTTGTAGTAAGAGTTTTACGGTACTTGCAGCACTATAAGGTCATATTAGTGCCGAAGAATAGATGTGTTACAAGAGATAACATGAACAAACAAAAAAGACGGAAGAGAGATAAGGAGGATAGAAGTTTGATAGGAAAGAAGAAGCAAACAACACCAGAGCGCCCGCCAACCACTCACAAGCAGAGTTTGTTTAAGGATGGGGAGTCCCCGTGGAGGGTGAAAAAGGGGTGGAGGGGTTGATAAGCCTGCTAAATTCTCTGACGCAAACCCATAGACTGTGCACTCTGATATAATAGACTGTGCACTCTGATGTAATCTCGGCTCGCCATGTAGTGCACCACTTGACTTTTTGGAACCAAATTAAGGACATTGTGAGGCTTTTTTTTTTCAAAAATGTCTTTTTTTTGGCTCACCATCTTTTATATCCATTTCAAAAAATATTTAAGTGTAGATTTTACTGAAAAAACGTTGATCAAAGGCACACACTAATGAAATGTAAATTTGCAATTCCCAAAGATTCTCAAGCTTTTTAGGTCACCAAAGCTTGATGGTCATTTTCTGGATAATCTTATCACTCAAACCAGGCAACCACACCTCCTTCAATTGCAGCTATCTTGATTTCTGTTCACGATAGATAGGTTGTTGTGGGGTGTTTTTTTTTACCGAAAGCAAGACAAATGAACAAGTGTGAAGATGATATCAATAACCCCAACTGTCCAAAAATTGACGAGCGCCTGATTCCGCTTCGTCGTGCGACCTTTCAAGTTTATGCTTTCGGGGCTAATTGAAGGACATTAACAAGTCTATGCGTTGATCAGGCGTATCACATCCTCAACAAGAGAGAGAGAGAGAGAGAGAGAGAGAGAGAGAGAGAGAGGGAGAGAGAAAGAGAGAAAGAGAGAGAGAAGTATTCTTCTCGCTCTGCCCTGACCTACACGACTTGTGAGGTCTGCTGCTACTTTCGGTCAGTTTCTTTTTTGTCTTAACATGTTCTTGTTTTCATTGCTGTTGTTGTTGTTGTTGTTGTTG